TGAATCTGCCTTCCCCAGACTTAGAGGAGATCTTCCTATTTTCCTCCATTTCCTGTTTGTATTCCAAGTATTCAACCCAAAAGAGCAACCTACATTTTAAGGAGAAATGGCATATACCCAGTCAAAACAAAACCCTAAAGTTGTTCATAAAGTTGTAATCTTATTTTACCAATAACCAAACTAGAGGGAAGATTGAGTTACTGCATCCAAAACACTTGAAGAACAGAGATTTCTGTGGCCTGTGGGGAAAATCACGAGTGGATGACATTGCCGAAGTGTATTCGGGGCTGTTTGACATTCCAGGGAGCATGCACACTGGGGCTAATGTCACTGCCGTGCTAGTCACCCTGTCACCGTGTCAATGAAAAGCTACCAGCTAATCATGCAGCACCTGAAACCGTCATGTCTTATTATCGTTTGCAGAAAGCTAAGCAAATATTCAAATACTCTGTGACAATAAAAATATTTTCATTCCCAAGAGAATAATATGAGGTCAAATAGTTTTATTAGAAAATTTGAAAGTCAGAGACAAAGAGAGCAAAGGAGAGAATGCTTCAAATTATCTTTTTTGAAGTTGAAGCAAAGAAAACTTCCTTTTGCTTTCTTAAATTTCTTTTATCCTATATCTGGCTCTGCGACTTTATTCCAATGCTTTTTATTGCACTTTTCTGCTCGTGCCCCATTCCCCCCTTCTCCTGATCCACCAAGTGTTATAGAAACACACTAAAGACACAAAAAAGAAATAATTTTTATTTGGAATGTCTTAAAGGTACAGCCTGATGTATAAGAAATCATAAAAAAAAATGAACAAGCTTCCTGCATGAAATATTAGAGGTCAGTTGTGTGGGTCAAGAAAGTGATGCAAATGAAGCTAATTGGCTTTCATCAGAAACTAATCAATGGGTTGAGGTCACAAGTTATGAGACATCCTGAAAATACTTATTATCTCATATATGGACTGACGTTTAACATCTCTCACTTAGTAAGAACTCAAAAGCACTCCTGGTTCCAAGAAGCTATGACAAATGAGCATCCCTGAAATCACTGATCATTGCAGCAATAGACATCAGAGAGTTTGTTTTTGTTTGTAATCACATGTGCAGTGGTTTAAACCTTGTAAATGATGTAGCAAATTTGACTAGCATCCTTAATGATCCCCTGAGGACTTAATAAAGATTAAGGAGACCCAATCAGATAACACTCAGAGAGCCAAGTATGGTGTTCCATTCTTAGAAACACACAAATGTCAGCTATTATCATTTGTGAGGTTGTTGTCTCTACCTTAAATAGCAATCATCTGTTGTCAGTAGAAGGCCATGCACCCCCTACCTAGACTTCCCAAGTCATTCATGCCAGCAAAATCATCTTGCATTTGACGGTAATTATAATGTCTGCCTACCTTGCCGTTGACATTTCAGGACCACAATCAATTTCTTGAGTACATTCTCTGGATATCATCGTTATCTAACTACATATCTGAGTGAAAATATTTACAAAATAAGCTATATGTAACTAATGTTACACTTGTGCGCACACACACACAAACACACACACACACACAGAGCCCATCCAACAAGGAGAATAAGGACAACCAAATGAACCATTTCTTAAGAAGCAATATTTTCCAACCTAAGCTGCACCTGAGATGAAAAGAGGGGAGTAGAAGACAGGGAAGACAGATGGGAGTTTTCCTTTGCTACTGATTGTTTTGGAAGTACCACAAAGCCAGCAGCACTCCTTGGAGGTAAAGCCAGGTCACTGGGAATGGGGCGAGCCCGTGGCCTACAGCCCAGAATCTGAGTAGCTGTGTGATCTTCCAGTATCGTTCTAAGTGCCTGTGGTGTGGAGACAGTAACTCCTATTCTCCACCTGACATTGTGCTATAGAGATTACGTGACAGAATGTAAGTTAAAGAATGTTTATAAAATCTAAATTTCAGAAAAATATAGTTTTGTTTCACCCTCAGGCAGAGCCACATGAATCTCGATGGCTAAGCCATGGTTCCCATGGGCACCCAGTTCAGCACGGAGCCAGAGCAGACCCCAGAATAACCAAGTGCCCGTCGGGGACCTCATCTGCGTTTGCGTCCCATCACCCCTTGGGGAGACACCACAGAACTGTCAGGTGGAGGTTCCTGTCACTGAAGACAACCACACAGAGAGAAAACAACAGATTGAAATCTAGAACCAGAGAGAGGGTCCTGAGCACATAAAAAACCCACCTGGCTAACAATTTCTGGATTTTCTTGTATAGAAGGCAACGAGAAACTGTCACTTGTGTCCGCTCAGGTAATTATCTCTAAGAAAATGGACAAGAGTAAAAAATACATATCTGTTCAAGCTACATAGCTGTAAAATAAACTAGAAAGCCGAGGTAAGATGAGAGGTAAGATTGCTCTCCTTTACAATATAAAATTTACTTTGATAGAGGGTAACACGTCATTGCAGGGTTTTTTGTGTTTGTTTTTTTCTTTTGGTACCGGGGATCAAACTCAGCACCTTGCGCTTGTGAGAAAGGCTGTGGAACCACTGAGCTCCATCCCCGGCCCATCATTAGCAGTTTTATCTCAGTGAAGTCAGAAACCTATTTCTTTGACTAAAATGAAAAAGACTTAAAAGAGAGAGAGAAAAATTTTACCAAGGAGCCAAAGTCACAGGACAGGTTGTTCGAGCTGCCGTTCTAGCTCATAAGTTGCCTGCCGACATGACCACCTTCGTGTCTTCCTACTTTATTGATGAAATTGTTGAATGAAATACATTAAGAAATTTCCCAAAAGTTATAAATTCTAAAAAAAGTTATAAATTCTAAATTTTTGCCTTAAAAAAATAATAAAACCTCCTAGAATTATGGGTCTCTCTAACCAAGTAATAATCTGGAAATGAAACAATGTTCCATCCATCGTAACTGGTTAGTCAGTTGCTCATCAGGAAATAAGGAGACCAATTTCCTTGTACACCACTGACATTTTCTGTCCAAACATAGTTTCCTTTCCTTCTGCCAAGCATCAGAAAAATTAGGGTTTATTCCCTGTTAAAGGCAAGGTGGAAAAGGATATAGGCTGCACGTAGGGTAACTGGGGAGGGGTCCCCTATGGAATTAGAAAGCACAGATGTACACAGTGCTAACTGGGAAGGAAAAGCAGGAAAGGAGTGCGGAAGAGAAGAGCAAAGTGTAAATGAGAGAAAGTCATGGATGAGTGAGGTGCCGTCTGAAGGTTAATGTGGGGCTCTCGTGGCACATGGGCCAGGGCTCAGTACCTGTGGGGCCGAGGGAGAACAGAGCACAGAGCCAGGGTGAAGGGAGAGCTGCGACTCTGTTGCATGTGGAGGGGGTGCTGAGAAACCCACACTCTGCCCCCAGTCAGTGCTGAGGCCGGAGCCCCCACTGTCAGAAGCCCCCACCGTGACTCCTGGTGTCCTTCGTCCAGGAGCCCAGGCCTCCCACAGAGACGGTGCACTAAAGACGGTCCTCCCACAGATCTGCCACTCGTGGGGTCTGGTCAAGCAAAGGATGGCAGGACAAGAAGGCACAGGCTTGTCCACCCACAAGGCTCTGCTGCCCATAGGACAGGCCTAGGTGACTCTTCTGTCACATCACCATCCAAAGAGTTCAAGCACATGTAAACTTGCCAGCAGATGTAGAGTGAGCACACTGGTGCTGGGGGGGACCTGCTTACGATTTTATTCCGGCTGCAAGCCTTGGGACACAAGAGTCTAAGTCTACACGTCCTGATCCTGTACAAGGCTGCAAACCCAAAAGAAGAAAGCTGCACAGTGGGTGGGGACCAAGGCCAGGATGTGTAATGACTCGGGTTTGAATCGAGTAGCAAATCCATAACAGAATGAATTGCCATTGCTGATTTTTCTAATTTTGCTTTCTTAGTAACAACATTTTGTAGCCTAATTGAAACAATTCATTTGTCTAGCATTCCAGAGAGGATGGCTATCAAGTCAGTAATGTGCCAATAAACAGACCTGCTACAATCTGGTTAACGGTGAGTACTTTCAAATTAGCAGATTTTAATAAATGAAACTTATAAATAGGTAACAGTGAAATGCATTAACATTTTGTGTATGTCCTAGATGATCAAACATCCACATATCAACTCTAACTAGTAATTTAAAACTTAAAATTAGTTATATTCATGACTTTCTAAGCATCTCCTTACAGTCCTTATTCATGAAATTGAATGGTTTTACACTGACTTAAAGCATCTTTCTTCTTCCCTAGGTGATCTAAAGTAAAAGAACCAATATGAATAGGTTGAAAATAGCAAAGCTCTGAAAGTAAATAAGAAAATCATTGTGATAATAGACATGTATATGGTTCCTTCACTGTTAATGTGGCTGGTGATCTGCTGCTGAGCAAACGTTTTCTAAATTTTATCACTAAAATAATAGCAATATACAAATAACTGGGGATAAAAGCAAATTAATTTTTAAGAGCATTCTCTGAGTTTAAAATCCAAAAGTACCATAAAAATATAACAAATTCAGAGAATATTTGTGACAGGCAACCTCAAAGATGACCCCAATGGTCTTTGTCTGCCCATGTTCATGGGCTTTACAATTCTCTCCCCTAAATACAGGCTGGATTTTTATCACTTGCTACGTCTGTTACTAGGATTCAAAAAGACTGTGACTCCCAAATTTTTCTCCCTTTCTCTCCTCTCTCTCTCCCTCTCTCCCTCTTCTCTCCAAGGAAGGCAGCTTTCATGCAGTAAGCTGCCCCGATGGAAAGCAAACTGAATGAAACTGAATGAAACCCCCATACAACAGTCAACAAAAAACTGAGCCTCTCAATCCGAGAGTCCACAAGAATGGAACTGACCTCTGCCAACAATAGTTAAGTGTGGAAGCAGATCCTCACCCAGCTGAGTGTTCACATGAAATGTAACGCCAGCCAGGATCTCAATTACAGTCTTGTCAAAATTTTTAGGCGAAGAGAAAAAGTTAAGGTCTCCTCAGATCCCCGATGGGAAGAAACTGTAAAAGAACACATATGCGTTGTTTTAAGCCATTAAGTCTTGTCATAATTATTATGCAGTAATGGAAAACTTTTTCAGTGGGTAGATGTCATATTCGAATGATGTCCTCCATCTAATCTGTCTCCTAACTTGTTGGAAATGTCACAATAAGTTGTGTTTTAGGTAGAAGAATGATTAGACATGCAAACTTGCTTATGGGCACAGATGGCAGGAATCTTGTAAATGTGCCTCAGTGTTGATAACTTATGAGTATTTTTCATAAGTCTTTTCTTTGTTCTTTCCAGGAATCCTCAGTTAGGAATATTAAGAACGCCTCATTAGTGGGGATAATACTAAGAGCCTTTCGTGCATGTAACGATTTCAGTCTACTTACGCTGTTCTTTTCTGCATTTTTCCTCACTTTTTATACACACAAGAGTAGGCAAGTAGACAGACACTTGCAGTCACACCTGAGAGTTGTACACAGGAGAATCATGTTATGCAGTGGTACACTATACGGTGGCATTCAACATAATTTGTCTCCTGGAGATTAAAAAGTATATCCATAAAAATGGATTGTTTTTAATTTTTAAATATTTAATATACATTAGCAAATCAAGTAAATTTGAGAGATTTAAATTAGTTTTATAAAAATTATAGTAGAACACTTGCTCCAGACCAAGATCAGAAAGTATATTTCTTTCAACTTTAGCTGTCCTAGACCCGGAATACTGGATGACACATAGAATGTGTGAATGTGTGCGTGGGGCCAACCGCAGGGACACAGGGGAGGAGGGGTCTCCGCGCAGGGAGGGGGACAGGAGGGAGGGGAGGGTGTTGTGGACTCTGGGCTGCCAGGACTGGACAGAGGATGGGCGTTCACCGGCCTGACTGGCGGCACTTTGTTCTGCAGGTAAAGAGGACAGGTGAGGACTGACTCGGAAACATCTCGTAAAAAGAGCCACTGATTCAGGTTCAATTCTTTCTTAGCCATGAAATTAGCTAAAGTGCTATCACTTGCAAAAAGTCCACAGCTTGCTGGTGCTGCTGAAGGATAAGAAAGGACACTTTGAGAAAGAGAATCCAATAAATTTTCATGAGTCTCCAACTCTCGCTTCTTTTCAGAGTTGACGAGTTCCAGCTAATAAGGCAGAGGCATGGATGCAGGGAATGAGTCTTCAAATGCAGATTTCCTCCTCCGGGGCCTCTTCCCTGGGTTGAAACATAGCAACTTCCTGGTGTCCACCATCCTCCTGATCTATGGAGTGGCTCTCACTGCGAACTCCATGCTGATCCTTCTCATCTGGGTGGACTCTCAACTCCACACGCCCGTGTATTTCCTGCATGGCCAGCTGTCCGTCATGGTCCTGAGTGTAATCGCTAGCACTGTACCCGAGATGGCAACTGACTTCTTTCCAGGGAAGAGAAACATCTCCTGGGTGGCTTGTGGGACTCAGATCTTCTTCTTTCTGACTCTAGGAATCGCTGAGTGGATCTTCATCACCCTCATGGCCTATGACTGGTACTGGTATGTGGCCATCTGCAACCCTCTGAGATACGCCCTCATCATGAGCCCCAGGGTCTGCCTGCAGATGGCTGCCACCTCGTGGGCTGGAGGTGCCCTTACCTCCCTCGAACACACAGCCCATGCCATGCACTTCCCCACCTGTGGCTCCAGAGAGATTTCCCACTTCCTCTGTGAGGTTATGGCCATCCTAAAGCTGGCCTGTGAAGACCTCTCTGCCTATGAGAAGGCTGTTGTAGTGACAAGCATTGTGGTACTCCTCATTCCACTGTCCTTCATACTGGCCTCTTATGCTCTCATCTTCCTTTCTGTCCACCGAGTAAGTTCCACTGAGGGTAGGAACAAAGCCCTGGCTACCTGCTCCTCCCACCTGACAGTGGTGAGCCTCTACTTTGGTCCAGCCATGCTGGTCTACATGAGGCCTACTTCCTACCACAGACCCGTACTGGATCAGGTCCTCTTCATGCTCGGTCCCATCCTTACCCCTATGATGAACCCTCTTATCTACAGTCTAAGGGACAAAGAAGTGGTGGTGCTCTGAAAAAGGCCTTGGGATATTGCCTAACCTCAAGTTAGACCACAAGAATAGGACAGAGACTAATCACTAGCTCTACACCAGTTCAATCAGCCTTGCTTAGAAGTCAAGGTCTTATTTCTGGTCTTTCCATACTTAAAATCACAATGGAATGACTGGCCCTATGGATTCGGATCATGCATACATAAAACCGGTAAAACATGTTTAACTATATTTATACATCCCACAGACAACAGGGTCAAACACATGGACCATGGGCCACCAAAATTAGGCATTCCGGAGATGACAGAAGTGGTGGTGTTGGTGATGATGAAATTTCTCCATTAAAGGGAGTTAAAGCAGTGACGCTTTATTCATGGAGATGTGTATCAAGTTTAGTGCTTGAAAGAAGCAAACCACCAATGAAAGTATAGAACTTATCCAACCTCCAAAATATCTTTCAAGGCGGACTAAAACTAAAGAGCTTTCAGTTTTCAATATTTAAAATGAGTTGCCGGGGATTTAGCTCCATGGCGCTGCACCTGCCTCGCCAGTGCAAGGTCCTGAATTCAATCCCCAGTACCGGAAAATAAATAAATAAAAACATACATACATACATACATACATACATATATACACTGAGTGGCTATATTGGATTCTCTAAGGTATTTATTACACCTAAACATAAATTATTTACTTTAAAATACTATTCTGCTACTTAAATTTTTACTTTAAGTTTTATTACCAAATACTATGTATACACTAAGACTAATTCTAGGTTCAACTCTCATTTTTAAGTTAATTTTTCTATTTATACATGTAGTTATATTGGACTTCATAGGAATGAACTGTTATCTGCATATTTACATCACTAGAATGAAATTTGAACATTTTTTACATTTGTATCCCACTTCTGCCATTATAGGAATCGATATTTACATTTCAACAGAAGAAAATTGAGGTGGCAAATTGTTAGATGTGAAATATTACTGTGCTAATCACTGCCAGTATGAGCATTAAATGGACTGCAAATGAACCTGAAGAATTTAATAATTCATCAGTATATCCATCACAGCTTAATTGGTTGTGTTATATAACTGAACTGGAAGCACAGAAAATTATTTAGACAGTCATTTTAAAAGCAAAATAGAAAATGCAAAGAAGTAATATACCTCACCTAAAAATAAAACAAAAGGCTCTAAATTAGAAGGGATATTCATAAATCATCTCCTAATCCTCAGAGAAAAGAAAAAGATGATTATATTTAAACTCAAATGTTGTTGTTGGGGATTTGTATGGAAGAAGTGTTTTTATCTACAAAATGGATAAGTAGCAAAGCTATAACACATTCTTCTTAGGGTGGATTAATGTAAATTATCTTTGCAAGGAAGTAATGTATGTGCCAAAGTGGGTGACAGAGAGTGTGGGGGGAGGAGTAGAAACCATGTTTGTTTTTGTTTTGTTTTCTGGTACCAGGGATCAAACTCAGGACGTGGTGCTTGCGAGTCAGGTGCGATGCCACATCCCTGGCCCCACCATGGGTGTTTTTGACAGTGACTGAGTAAATAAATACAAAGACATATGATTTTCCCCATCAGAATCTGCTCAGGTATCAGCCATCAGATGTGACCATTTCTAGTTCTGGAATAAAGCTGAATTTTTGCACATCAATTGTATTTCTAATACAATCATTCTTTCCCAAACTAAACAAGGGAAAGTTTTCAAGTCCCCTAACCAGCAGATTGAAACAAAGAACCTTAAAGAACCAGGCTGACCATCTGCTTCAGTGTGTGACAGGGAAGTGGTAAAACAGTTGGGGCAAGGCCTATCACCGCTCCTACTGCCTCGTTAACCAGGCAAAGTGCTGGGACCCATGCCCACAAGCGGTGTGGAAGAGCCATCTTCACAGCGGGGGAGCAGGAGGAATCCACCAGAAGAAGACTCGATGTCTCACTTGCTCTGAAAGTCTAACAGCATCCCACAAACAGAATTGTATGAGCACCCTCATCACCTCAGCACAAACGAAGAAAGCTGTAACAGACTGACTTGTTTTTTGATAACAAAAGAGAAAGCGTAGGAACGAAAATCACCAGGTGTAACTCCTCCACTCCTCCACTCCTCCACTGTTGCTGGACACATCCTCGTCAGCAGGATTCTGGCGAACAGGATTCTTAACCAACTAAACTCAGCAGTTAGGCAAAGAAAGCCCTGTCATTTCTCTCCATGGAGACCACCGTCATTTGAGAGAAATCCCTTCTTTATCATCTAATTGGAAATCTTCCCCCAGACATGTGCAGGATGGAGCTGCTGGTGCAACCTCGTTCCCTACTGTTCTGAAAAAAGGTGAGATCTTCAAAAGATACAAGAAAAATAAAAGACATTAAGAGCAGCGAGAGAGGGGGGTAAGGGGAATTGAAAGCAGCTCTTTTCTTAGGTATGAATTTCTTTGAAGGGGAAACTTTTCGGTCTCTAATATAAACTGCAATCTCATTGAGACACAAAGGACTCTGCAGATGACTGAAATCACTGCCTCGGAAGTGAACAATTAGGAAAGCAGCATTCCCGCTTCTACTGCTCATCGCTGAACACAGGAATGAGGTCACTCCTGAGCCACAGTGCTAACCCCATGGGTTCAATTCCTTCATTTTTCGGGGGGTTTTTGTTTTGGGGTTTTGGGGGGGCATGTTATGTAGACTTGACCTGTTTGGGCGTTTTTGTTGTGATTTAAATATTCCCCCTCCCATCCTACAGTTTTGTCACATATCCTCGAGGTATGGTTATAACGCCCCCCCCCCACACACTTGCTTCCCTTCCCATTCGAGGAAAGAGCCTGGGCTCCCATTATTACTCCCACAGAAGCCGAAGCCCAGGTAGTTTCAGCCGCATCACTTCCCCCTTCTGCTGACTGACGGCAGAGCAAGCTGCTCCTTGCCTACGTGCACCAACTGTTTGAGCACAAATCTGAAGTCAGACTGGAATAAGCCCACCAGGGCTTTTCAAAAATGCCATCCAATCCCCTGGCTAGAATAGAGAAAATCCTGGTTTCAAGGTAACTTTCACAACACTGCACTGGAGATTCTTGAGCATTAATAGCTAAGGAAATTTGAAGAGTTGCGGACAGGATATAGAGATTTTTTAATTTCAAAGAAGGAAAACCTACATAACCCAGGGACCGGGCAGTTCCCTGTGGTGGGTGATATGAACACATACACAGATCATTTCTCCAGTGCTGAAGGGTGATGGTGTAGGTATAATTTCCTAGGAAAAGCAATGACGACAGGCAGGTAGCCTGATATGGGAGTTGAGGCCAGTCTGCCAGAAGAACTATCCCTTATCTGAGACTTCAACATGATTAAATTCACCCTGAGGAAAGAGAAAAGCCATGGGTGCAGACAAGCCAGGCTCCTGTCAATGGAAGTCCCAGGGGCTCAGGCCCAGGAGCTCTGCGCTATTGCTGAGAGTGGAGAATGCAGAAGAGCCCCAGGGCCAGCTCTTGCTGCTTGGGCTTGTCCAGACCAGAGAACAGTGTGTCCACAAGGACCATGTGTTTCTTTTCCTTCCTGATTAACTCAGGTTAATTAAAGTCTCAGGACTTCATTAAGCCAGGATACTCTCCTGAGATTCAGCATCTCTTATATTGGCATTGCCCTGGATTTACTCCCCATTCCATTTGGATCCATGGACCACTAAACAGGCAATGGCGAGATGTGTTCACAATTAGCAGTTTGGCTGGCATTCTTTCCACATTGGTCATACACTCCCAGCCCAGAGGGTATTAGCAACACACAATGAAGATGATGAGTCCCTCCAGCTTCCCAAGTGGCAACACCAGAAGGGCTTGAGTGAGGAGCTATGGTCTCGCCTTATTGGAGAAATGAAAGTTTGGGACATGTGCCAACCCCCTTAATTCACATGGAGCAGACTTGTCCCTGGTTAGGGATAGCTGATCAAGTAATCAAGGCAGCCATTGTTCAGGGCAGAGGGAGCACTCTTGGAAGGACTGCCAGTCTCTATCCAGCTGAAGGCTCTCTGAGCATGTCTTCATCTCATGTGAAACAACTTTCTGACTCTCTTGCTTGTGAAACAATCCAAACTCTTCAGCACTGCAGCCATGTTCTTGTCTCATCCCAAGTTTCCCTGTCCAGCTGAATGGAAAATGTGCATCTGTGCCTTGGCACTATGTCCTGCACTGCACAAAAGTGCAGACCAGGGTCTGCATGAGGCCAAGGGCTCTGATGACCAGATACCTCATCCAGAACAGGCATGTGGCTCCATGGGGAGACAGTGCCACAGGTGCCAGGAGACTGTCTCCACTCAAAAGGGCCCTTCCGTTGTACCACATGTAAAACTAACTTGAAACAGACTGAAGCCCCAAATATAAGACTCCAAACTTATAAAACTCCTAGAAGAAAACAGGGAAAAGCATTGATGTCATTGGATCTGGCAATGGTTACTTGGATATAACCCAAACAACACAAGTAACAAAAGCAAAAATAGACAAATGAGAATACACAAAACTTTAAAATGTCCACACATCAACAGAACCAATGAAAGAGTGGAAAGGCAATCTACAGAGTGGAGGAAAATATTTGCAAATCATGTAACTGGTTAAGAAATTAATAGTGGGATAAAGAACTCCTACAATTCAGTAACAAATTGAAACAAGCAAATAACCAAGTAGAGATGTGATACTCTACATAGAAGACCCAAAAAACTCTGCCAAAAGACTTCTAGACTTGACAGATTCAGTAGAGTAGCTGGATACAAGGTCAACACTCAAGAAACAATAGCCTTCCAGCAAGTTTAACACAAATAACAGGCTCACTGAGAGAGAAATTAGGGAAACAATCCCTTTCACAATAGCATCCAAAAAAATGACATATGTAGGAATCAATATAGCAAAGGAAGCAAAAGACCTCTACACTGAGAACTACAGCACTCTGAAAAAAGACATCAAAGAGGATACAAGAAAATGGAAAGACATCCCTTGCTCCTGGGTAGGAAGAACCAATATAGCGAAAATGGCCATACTTCCAAAACTGCCATAGAAATTCAATGCAATCCCGATTGAAATCCCAACAGCATATTTCACAGAACTAGAGAAAACAATCCAAAAGTTCATCTGGAACCAGAGGAGACCTAGAATAGCAAAAGCAATTCTAGGCAACAGAGACATGGCAGGGGGTATCACAATCCCCAACCTGAAACTGTACTACAAAGCCACTGTGATAAAAACTAGCATGGTACTGGCAAAGAAACAGACCTGAGAATCAGTGGAATAGATTAGAAGATAGAGAAACAACTCGAGACACACTCAGCCACCTGATCTTTGACAAAGGAGCCAACCATCCTCACAGGAGGAAAGATAGCCTCTTTAATAAATGGTGTTGGAAAAACTGAATTTCAACTTGCCCCAAATTAAAACTAGACCCCTATCTGTCACCATGCACTAAACTAAAATTGAAATAGATTAAAGATCTAAATATTAAAACAGAAACACTAAACTTGCTGGAAGGCAAGTTAGGTAGAACTCTTGAAGACCTTGGCATAGGAAAGGACTTTATGAACAAATCCTCAGTAGTACGGGAACTAGCACAAAGAATCAACAACTGGGATCTCATCTTATTAAAAAGCTTCTGCACTGCAAGAGAAACCATCAAAAGAGCTAAGAGACAACCTACAATGTGGGAAAAAATTTTTACCAGCTGTTCCTCAGACAAAGGTCTACTATCTAGAATATATAAAGAACTTAAAAAATCAGACCCCTCAAATATAAAACCAAATTCAAAAATGGGCATCTGAAATGAACAGACATTTCTCAAAGAAGTAAAAGTAGCAAATAAACATATGAAAAAATGTTCAACATCACTGGCCATTCAAGAGATGCAGATGAAAACAATGCTGAAATTCCACCTCACTCCAGAAAGAATGGCTGTTATCATGAAATCAACCAACAACAAATGCTGGCGGGGCTGTGGGAAGAAAGGAACCCTTCTTCATTGTTGGGAGTGCACACTGGTGCAACCACTGTGGAAATCAATATGGAGATATCTCAAACAGCTAGGATTGGAAGTCCCATTTGACCCAGCTATTCCCCTGCTGGGTATCTTCCCAAAAGAATTAAAAGAATCATATCACAGCGATATATGTGCACCCATGTTTATAGCAGCAGTGGAAACAGCCCAAATGCCCATCAACTGGAGACTGGATAAAGATGTGGTTTTTTAAAAAAATGGAGTACTACTCAACCATAAAGAATGAGAAACTAGAGATATTTATGGCTCAGTGGATGCACATTGAGGCCATATTCTTAAGTGAAATAAACAGGACACACAGGTGTAAATACCAAATCATTTCTCTGGTGTGAAAAACTAAAAGTGTAAATAAGGATCAAAATGTATAACTGATATTGTGAAATAGGAAGAAAAGGTCTAAAGGAATAGGGGAAATGGGAGGAGTAGGGGAAAGGAAAGAAGGGAAAAGAAAAAATATGAGAAAGAGAAAAAAATGGAAACAAATTATTTGTAAATAGGGAAGGGTGGAGGAGGTGAAGGGAGGGCAGGGAATGGGGAAAAAATAAAAACCAAGATGCTCATGTGAAGGTACAAGATCCCAGTGATGAATGTGACTGTACTGTATACCTAAAATGTGCCAATAAAGTTAATTTTAAAAATTAGCTTAGTTGATAAGGTGAAGGCAGAAGCCTGACCTGAGAAACAGATTCAGAGGTTTCAAAGAATGTTTTGGGGGCGAAGAGAGCCCATCTTTAGAAAACACAGCAGACTGGGCCTGTGCCTTTCACCTGCAAAGGGGCCATCTTCTCGCCACTAGATTAAGTCACTGTCTCTCTGCCTCTGGGTGGATCACTGCTTTGCTCCTGTGAGCCAAGCCCAAACTTCCTGCAGCTTCACAAATTCCACAGATTTCCACCACCAAAACCACAGCTCCAGACTATAATGTGCCTCTCTCAAGGGGCCTATACTCTGCTCTGACGGGTGTACTTTCAATTGTGTCTGAAAAGCCTCTTTGTGCCTCTCAGGAAAAAGAAACTCTTTTTTTTTCCATGCCAGGAATTGTACCCAGGGCCCCACTTAGCTACATCCCCAACCTCAAAAAATTTAAAAGAGAATCTCCATATGGTATAGTAATCCACTAATGGGTACGTACACAAAAAGCATTAAGAGCAAGATCTAGAGGAGAAAATCACTTACACATGTTCATTGTGGCAAATTTATAAGAGCAAAACGGAGGAAGCAACTCATATCCATGAATGGGTAAGTGGATAAAGAAAACGAGTATGTACATACAACAGACTACTATTCAGCCTTATTTATTTATTTATTTATTTTTAAATTTTTTTTGGTATTGGGGATCGAACTCAGGTCCTTGTGCTTGCGCAGCAGGCGGTGAAACCACTGAGATAAATCCCCAGCCCTATTCAGCCTTATTTAAAAAATTAAACCCTGTCTTATGCTACAACATGAATGAACCTTGGCATTATGCTAGTGAAATAACTCAACCACAAAAATAAAAAGACTGTATGTTTCCACACATATAAGGTACCCAAATTTGTCCAACAAAGGCAGAAAGCAAAATGGTAGTAACCAAGGCTAAGAGGTAGGGGAAGTTGGGTGTTGTCAGTCAAGTTTCTGATTTACAAGCTGAAACACTTCCAAGAGACCTGTTGCACAATGATATGAACACACTACGGAACTGTGCACTTAAGCAATTGTGTTACTTTTTACCAAAGTATTTTTTCTAAATAGTTGTTCACCTAACTTAAGGTCTCATGGTTATTTTGTTTCTGAAGACCTTCAACTTTGTCTAGGCTCCCAGTCTGCCATCAACATATACTGTTTGTCAGTTGTGCCTAATTTATTAGAATCATAGTTGAAATCTCATCTACAACAACCAGCATGATTTTCACATCCTCTGCAGTCAACAGAGTCATTATTTCCGCAGAACTGTGGTGAACACAAATAGATAGCACATCCAGTGATTTCCCACTTGTGGACCTGCTGATCTCCCATGGTTTCCTCTGATGGCTTTAAGTTCACCTCTGAGAATATGTCAACAAGGAACCGCATCTGGCGCTGAAAACCAGGTGTGGGTCTGGCTGAGCCTCCTCCTGGATCTTAGTTTTGGTTTCGGTTGAGGGCCTGGAAAAGCCTGCATGGGCTCCTACATCCGTTACAACCTGAAACTATTCATCTGTCGCAGTGGCATTTCACTCAACCCACAAGAGGAGTCACAACCAACCATTCGGCAGCTTCTGAAAGCTTTACAGCTGCTTCCACAGTCACTTCAAGGCATTCTCTTGGACCATCAGTAAGATAAACATACCTGGCTTAGAGTCTCCAAGTATTCCTGACCATGGTGATGCAGGAGAGAACTGAATAGCAGAATTTTCCCAACAGTAAACTTCCGGATATGAGAAATGCTTCAGTGTCCAGGCTAGATTATTAAAGATGGAAGTAGAGTACCAAATGTATGAACATTTTTCTAATGTTCGTTTTAAATTATTTCAAAATTTTAAAAACCTTCCAGAGGCGTGGCAGCTCCCTTTACCCATCTTCCATGGATACAGACATCTTGAATGGTCACTACACAAGCACCAAAGCAGGAAAGTAATATTCACAAAGTAGTGCAAATTAATCTACAGAACTTATTCAAGTCTCCTCAGTTGTCCCACTGTCAGGGTTTGAACAGTTTGGTAGATCTGGGCTAGGGTCACACGCCCCGTTCTGCCCCATCGCCTTAGCCCATCTAACCTGAGGCAGGCCTCCTCTTGGTACTTCCCAAGGCTGCAACCCGGCTGTTGGTGGGCAGTGCCCAACCTGGGCTTGTCTGTTTCCTCATATCTGAGACCTTCACACTGAGCTACAGTCCCTGGCCTTTTCCTTTTCATTTTGAGACAGGATCCTGCTAAGGCACTCAGCTGCCCAGGTTGGGCTTGAACTCTGTGATCTTCCTGCCTCAGCCTCCTAGATTGCTGGGGCCAAACAAACCAAGTTTTCCAACATAAAACTGCTTCCTTACTTCAGTATTTTCCCCTTAAGTTCAGAAAATTTTACAGGTGGAATTTAAATCAGTGAAGAAATATTTCCCTTCTAACAAATTATGTGGGAAAAAGTGGATCCCTACCATATAATATTTGTAAAAACAGATTCCATATGGAAATATGGAGTTAGGAAAGTATTTTTATCAAAAACATATGAACTCTGGAACTTTAGCTCTTTGAGCAAATACAAGGCGGACTACTGATATATGGTGAGTTGGATAGCCTGGGACCAGTATGAGACACACATCACTAAGAAATCCTTCATTGTATCACTGTGATACTTAATACACTACTGCCTACACCTTAGATTATAAATCATGGCACACAGTGGTAAATCCTTTCACTGTTTATCTAAGTACTTCTTATCTATCCTTACCAGAACTCAAATGTACCCCAAGGCAAGATGTTATTTGAATGTTTAAATAAATGCCAGTATAAAATACAGATTTGCAAACATTTAAGTGTCCTAACATAAATATTATACTACAGGTGGGCAGAACAGCATACAATAAAACAAATAACTAACATAGGAATGGGGGGAAAATACAACACCAAATCAACAGGTGCAGGTCCTTCTTCAACACAGATGATGCCCAAGTCCTCCCTTGGACAAACAGCTGCCCGTGCCTCACCGGGTGTGGTACTTCCTGAAGCACTTGGCATGCACGCCCTTCTGGCACTTCTCACACCGCGTGTTGGTCTGCGAGTGGCAGAGGGCGCAGCGGGTCCTCTTGTGCTGGTGGATGATCCAGTGGCCCGTCATATCGAAGCGGCTCTCAGTCTCCAGCCGCCTGCCCCGCCTGCCCTGCGAGGTTGTGTCGGCGTTGCTCTCCAGGTACACACAGGCCACGTACCTCCGGAAGGCCAACAGGTCCACACGCCTGTCTGGGCAGCAGATCCTGTGCAGCTGCCACGCGTTGTTGAGGGCAGCGTCGATGACGTAGCCGATGAAGCTCGAGTACCACTTCAGGCCACGGATCTTCACCCTGTACTTGGCGATGTTCTGGTCCAGCCGGCCCACGCCGCCTGCCTTCTCCTGGTACAGCTTCAGCAGCGATGGCGGGTGGACCTGAGCCCGCGCCCCGGCCGCACCAGTGTGTTGGCGGGCCAGCCTCATGGGCTCAATGCCCAGCGCACTGGAGCAGGTGTTGCTCACGCTGCTGTCATGCCGGCGGCACACGAGGATCTCCTTGTGCTCGTCCACCTTGTAGTCAGAGGACCCCCTCTTCATTTTCCTCAGCAACTTGGGGTCTTTGGGGGGACACCGATCTGTCCTGTGCTCGCGAACCGTTCCTGTGGCCTTGATGCCCTTCTCCCTCAGAATGGACATCAGTTTGACACTTGTGAAAACCTTGTCGAAGAAGACGTGGTAGGGCAGGCAGCCCCGTGCCCGAAGCGCATCCACGAACCTGAGGACCATGCTGCCCCCCAGGTCCAGGCCGCGCTCGGGCCTGGTAAACAGTGTGCCCTGTGAGGGCTCGAACCACACCAGGTAGCCGCTGATGGTGGTCCCGCACCAGACCCTGTAGCCCAGCCGCACAGCGGGCAGCCGCCTGGAGCCACGTGGGTCCAGGCACTCCCACGTGGACTGGCCGAAGCTGTAGAACTCCTCCAGCGGCGCGTGCTTCTGGAAATTGCAGTTCATCCGGACGATGAGAGGCCGGACCTTCGCGAACCGGTCACTCTCGTCCAGCTCACTGTTGTCTGCAAAGTGCAGGTACGAGAAGATCAGCTCAAATCTGTCCCTCCTGATGGCATCGGCCACGAGAGGATGGTGGGAGTCGGGAGAGGTCTCCCAGAACATCCTCCTCCGGGGGTAGGAGATGTAGCCACTCAGAATCAGGATGCCCAGGACGCACTTCAGCTCCTGCGCCGTGAGGCCCAGGGCGATGCCCTTCTGCTGAGCGTACCGATTGGTTTTATCAACAATGAAATTAATTGTTCCTTCATCGAAAAACAGCTCAAAGAGGCCCACGGGGCTCAGCTCCTGGCTCCTGAGGTCCTCGATGTGAGGGTCTGACGCAGTCCAGCTGCTAAAGTCTGGCTGGACGTCTCTCTCGGCCCAGATGCGCTGATCGTCCGCCCCTGCCTTCTGCCTCTTTGAGGCCGGCTGCAGTGCCAGCTCGCCGCTGCCTTCCTCGCTGCCAGAGTCCTCGGACACGACTGAGGCGTGCAGCACGCTGCCGGGCAGCCGGGGGCCCCGCGGGCAGTCTTCGTCTCCAGAGTCCTCATCAGTGAAATCCCCCGCCGCGTTGTCAGGGGGGGCGATGAATATCTCCTCCCTGTCACTGCCTGGCTCGTCCCCCTCCAGGGCACTCAGAACGTCCAGGAGCTTAGCGGCCTTGGCCTTGGGGCGGGCAGCTGTCCCAGGAGGGGCCCCTCTGCAAGGGAAGGAACACAGTCAGGCAGAGCCCTAGGGAGAGCGCGACTTCACAGAGAAGGGCAGCTCAGGGCAGGGAGCGCGGGAGCTGCCAGGGCCTCAGCTCCACCCGCCAGGCACAGGGCCGGGAGGAAGGTTTCTGGACCAGTGCGGAGACAGACGCCTCTGCACAGCTGAGTGAGTGCTTTCAGGGCTGAGGCGCACCCTTCCTCTGCTCCTGAGTGACGTGTGGCAGGCCGGGCACAGGGGCTCCCTCGGGAAACCTGGGTCGCTAGAGTGGTACCCCTGCCAGCACGCCTCATGGCCCAGACACGGACGCAGCCCTGCTGACCGAGGGAGGCCGAGGTCTCAGTGTCCCCTGTCAGAGGGGCGAGCCAGGTCCTCCAGGCCGGGGCTCTAGAGCCTCACTGCCCAAGTGCAGCTCTCCCCAGATCCTAACAGCTCCCGCGTGCGTGCCGATGTTCAAACTCTGCCCACGGGAAGCTGGCAGGGACGGGGTGGCCCCGGGCGCCCATCGGTGTCTTCCTCCTGAAGGCTGCGGAAGGCTGCGTGGTGTTTTGTATCAGGCACACACACAGGCACCACACCCCCCGGCCTCATCTCTTCTCCACCTCCCTCCTTTCTGCTTCCTTTCTCCTTTGTTCTCAGAGCACCATCTCCTGAGGCCAGCAGGACCGAGAGCTAACAGTGTCACATTCCCTCCCACGTCACTCCTACCTCAAGGCTGACGCCATGATGAACTGGGAGGCCGAGGCGGTCTTCACTCAGGGCCCAGGAAGCTGTAAGACAATGGGAGTCAGTTTTAAAAGCAATGGCCTAATAAGCAAAGCAAGAGCATCTTTACCAGCCAAGAGGAAACAACCCCTGCTAAAGGCTCACCAGCGAAGGGAGCAGATGGTACACACAGGAAACAAGGTATGGCCAACTGGCTGCTCAGGAAAAGGCAAGCCCCTTCTCAACACTCACTCCAGAATGTGCCCCTCAGAACTACCCACTTCTGGGCTGCACTGGTCTTGGGGAGGGGAGGGCGGTCCTGCACACTGTGGGGCCTTTAACATCCCAGGCTTCTTCCCACTAGATGGCAGCAGAACACCTCTTCCTCCTAAGGTGTAAAAATCAAACATTTTCCAAACATTGCCAAGTGCTCCCTGGGGGCAAAATTGGCCTTGGGTGGCAACTGCTGTTCTGGATCAGTGCTGCCAGTAGAGCCCTCCTGTGCTGGCAGAAACGGGCTGCACAGGGCTGCCCAGCTCGGCCCCTGAGCACCTGTGAAAGGGATGGTTACTGAGATGCTGAGCTGCCAGTGGTAGGGAAGTCCAGCTAATGCTAATTTAAAGAGTCACCTGTGCCAAGATGGTGAGAGTCTAAACATACTAAATACTAATTGTCAGTAGCACTGAAAACACTGAATCAGCCCACTGCAGACAGGCAGGTCTGCGAACGCGGTCCTGAGGTCGCCAGTAAAGCTGAAAACACTGAATCAACCCGAGATCCAGCAGCAATCCACTGCCTCCCGCCCTGCTCCTCTGGCCTCTTCTCTGTACAGTCACCTGGTTCCACACTACAAAGACGCAGAGGACACCGGACCACCAGACCACGGTACTGGAGCTAATCAAGTTCTTAGCATTTAAAGAATTCCTGCCCAGAGGTAGGGGCTTCTGAGCTGCCGTGCCAATGCTCCTGGTCCAGAGGAAGGGGCTTCTGGGCCGCCAAACGTCCCCCCGCTCCAGGCCCAGAGGAAGGGGCTTTCGGGTCACCATCCCTACCACCGCTCCCGGCCCCTGGCCCACCTCTCCCAGCTCAGAGGAGGTGAGCCGTGCAGAAGCCAACAGCACCCCCCTGCCCCCCCCC